GCAATTGTTGATGTCTCTAGCATGAGTATTTCAATAGACAGAAAAAGAGAAAGAGATTTTGCAGGTTGTCAGTGCTCATAAAGGAGACTGGCCTTAATGAGAATTTAATTTTTCATATAAATTTGAATGTAGCTTTATTTCTGATAAAGTCATCCTCATTAGTATTCTTTATGTATAAAGACACAAGTCATTATATAAAAATCCGTTGAATACTAAAATGAAGAGGACTTTATTGCAGGGCTGTCAACTCTCCCGGATAAACCGGGAGTCTCCAGATTTTGGACTGTATCTCCCGGTCTCCAGATTAGAGTATCAAATCTCCTGGATAATCTCCGAAGCTGACCATTTCTTGTGAGACTAGACTTTCACAACCATAAAATTCCAATTACTTCATGTTGTTTGTGTTATTTGAAATCGCTAACAAAATCAAAACGTTCCTCATAAACTGTTCTTGCAAGCAGGCCATTGTAATATAAGCGATAATCTGATTGGTCAGAAATAAACCAATCACATCAAATGTTACAAAGCGAAAGATGTCTTTTCGCAAGCTTTTTGACGTGCTGTGACGTCATATCCTTTCCCTATCAATTCTCCAGATTTGAATATCTCGGGGGTTGACAGCCCTGTTATTGGGTACAAAGGCCCAAGAATGTGAATGTGAGTGGTCACTAAAACACTATGTACAGTATGTCACTATGATGTCACAGCTTGTTTATAAGGGAAAGAATGGTCAGCAAAAAATAATTGGGACTCCTTTTTTTCTACAGCTGAATTGATAGATAGTTCTGAATGTCTGGTTTTCAAATATTTTACAAACCTGTGTTTATCCTACAATATATACGGTATTCTTCGATTGCACGTTACGTCATCGCGGCATCTCGGGGGAGGGTTGGTGCCATTTAACAAAAGATTTCTTATTAGAACCATTGTTAACGGCACCACAATGGCCGCCATGCTTTTGTCTTTTGACTCTCTTGGGAATGCTTGCAACCCATCAATATGGTTGGTATTATTGCTTTAGTAAGTTCTAAGAAGTACTTATTGGACTTACTGGGCTATTCCGTCTTACTGGGCTATTTCTTTTATTTTGGGCTATACTTCTAATATATATATATATACTGATTTCTAAGCGTATGGAACATCAAGATGTGAATTCGCAAAACGCACTACTATATCTCCCCCCAATAAAACCTGGTTTTTAAAAGAATATGGAACCGTAATGGTAATCTTATAGCATACTATTAAGTAAGCTTAAGATTTTTAGTTTAAAACTGATTCGGTGCAAAAATGAAAGGACAGTTCAAAATAAAATGCTTTTTTGAAGGACGAATGCTTTTTGGAAGGACCCAGAAAACAATAAATAAACCTTACCTTTGTATTTGTATGGATTAGTGTAGTATAAAAGCATTTCTTACCGGATAAAGGTGTAGTGAAGTAACATAAGACAATTGCCGTGTTGTAAGGCTTTAATCAGCATAAACCTCATGCTTACACGAGTCAACTAAACATGGCGGCTTGGAGAGCAAGACCGCTGATCATAAGTGTCAGCGGCGCGACACAGGTATCCCGAAATATATATATCAATAATAACTTTTAACTAAAGTTATTCAAACAATAATTCTGAACAACAGTTGGGTGTCGATTGTCACTACAAAAGGTAGGTTTTTTTAGCCATGCTTTTCCGAGTCTTCTTCCGCCATCTTGTGTGTTTACGTTTTTGACAAAGCCCACACACCATCGTGGGACACCACAGGGATACCATGTAGAAAACAAACCGTAAGTCGATCATAACCACAGAAAGCTCATACAAGCTTTGAGAACTGAATGAAAACTTAACGAAAAAAATAACAATGAAAGGTAATATTTACTCACATGAATTGTTGCTTACTTCGTCCTTGTCCTTTAGTAGTGATTTCAAACCACTAAGACTTCATGTGAGTAAATATTACATTTCATCATTATTTATTAGTTATCAAAGCTTGCATGGGCTTCCTGTGTAGTTACCACTCCTTTGTCGGGTTGTGGTAATCAGAATGGACCAGATTGAAAAACCTGTCTAATTGGATCAGTATAAATATGATTCCTTAAACGCTCACAGTATTTTTTCACAATACCACTACCACCAGTGACCACGACGATCCTCGAACATTGAAGTCCATCTGTCTGAAAAGCAGCACTGCCTGTGGCTTGCAGAGCACTCCATCCTGCTACCACTGACTTTTTTCTCTCCAACAAGAGAAATATAAGGAAGGGTAAAAAAACTTTGTTTATAGCTTACTTTACTTAACCGTTGATATATATGTGAGGGACCACTGTAATTGGCACATAATATTGGCAAAGCTAAATTAAAAAATAAATACCACTACCATCATTATCCACCACCATTGGTCACCATAATTTGTCATCATCATCATCATTACCATGACAACCACTACCACCATTATCGACTGCCATCGCTCATCAACATTACCATGACAACCATTATCAACCACATAGCTCACTGTTATCATCATAATTACAATGACAACCAATACCAACATTATCCACTACCACCAGTCATCATTGTCACCATCAGGTTCAATAAAAAACAAAATTCTTAGTTACCCATGTTTATTAATAATAGATTGAAAGAATGTAACTAGCACATAACCTAGCACAAGCAACTGGATAAGGAGAGAGCATAATAATAAATAAATAATAATGGGGTTCTTATAAAGCGCATTATCACAGTCTCAATGTGCTTTACATTGCAGTGGAGGACTTTACAGGCTGCATGTTAAAGTGCTATTAGCAGCCGTGCAGCTTACAATCATGAGTGATTTATTAGTACCTTAGTGTTATGCCTCCAAATTGGGATAGGCTGTTGAACCAGGTGACAATCCCCTACTCTTACACGAATAATTCAACAGGTTCTTTTRTGTCCCCCATTTACTGTAGGTTAGGAAGGGTTGGGAGACAGGGCCTACGGTTTTAAGTCCTTGTCCGAGAAGACTTGAAGGTCTAACCATTTGCAGATGTGATTACAAAGACAGCACCTTCTACTCAGTTATTTTAAGACCCTTAGTATTGGTCCGGCCGAGGCTTGAACCACTACCTTCTGCACAACAGACTGACGCTCTTACCAACTGAGCTAACCGGGTTGTGGTTGTACAATCTATGAAAGTTATGCGTTCTTTTAGTTGCTAATATATTATATTCTATATTTTTTTATTAGCTTCGCCTTGAGTTTTGCATTTAATGGGTTTTTCCCTTGGGCTGGTCTAGGATTTAGTTTTTTTGCTTTTTAATTTTGGGGATGGATTAGTGTGTTAGTGCCTTGTAGGGGACTTAAGTGTCCTATTGTATTTAGCACCTACCTTAGGGTAAATCTTTAAATAAAAATAAATAATAAATATACATTCTTAGTAAATTTTATAATGATGTACTGGCAGATTTTCCAAGATTTAAGTCAACACAACACAAGCCTAAATATTTCATTTTTATTTATAAATTTAAAATGAACATTTTATTCAAAGAAAAATTAGAGACAAAAGTATTGGAGGTTTGATGACCATATGTCATCATTCTCAACAAAATTTATAGAACATTTAACAAAACTCTCTTATTAATTTGCAGGTAATGAAAAAACCAATCAACACAACCATAAATCACAATCTTTCACCAATGGAACACTACCAAAATACACGTACAACTACACACCCAGTTTATAATATATATATATTATTTATCAATATGGTGCAACAATAACAACATGCAAAAACACCATACTTTGTATTTCTTTCAAGGTTCAACTAAATGGAAATGAAACACAAAATATAGGCATCAAACTTAACTTCACAAAAAGTGCCTCTAATAATAGACTTCAACAAGACTTCAAGACCTGAACGAGTATTCCCAACCCCCAGCTCCCTCAAAAAAAAAAAAAAAGAAAGGACTTTTAAACGACCCTAACATACATTTTATCTGGTTGTATCATGTTTACACATTTCTGACCACAAGTGATTGTGTTGAGAATAAGTTTTTGTTTGAGTTGTATCCATATTAATGTGACTTCTTATGTGCAACCGTCGAACAAGGAAATAATACTCTAGGGAATGACAGGTGGTCTGATTTGGGAAAACATTGTGCCAAGGTAAATGGGTCTATTTTAACAAGAAAAATAGATAAAATTAATAACCTTTTCATATCAATAATACCTGTTCCTAGACTCAATTACATACTCAGGGTTAGCCTTATTTCAGCATCAACAAATTCAGAAATTTCATAAAATTTTAAAGAATGTACAGCTTCAAAAACACATGCAAATTCCACTGACCTTCACTGGAATACATAAACATTCAAAACAATTCCATTTAAAATCAAGGCCAACCCTGAGCAACAGAGAATTTGGAGTATTACTAAAAGTGTTTTATTACCAGCTGTGTCATCACTACACTCTATTCTTTGAAGCACAGTTTTGAGCCTATCAGAGAGCATTTAGCAAGATGACATTTCAAGAATACATGGACCTAGTATTTTAATAAATGTTGTCATTGCCAAAGGGGGCAAAACGCGATAGGTGAGTAGGTCATTTCAAGATCCAAGAATATCTGGAATGACTTGGGTTTCTGCTTCTTGTTCTCATCAAGAACATAACCCCTAGTGTTGAGACTGATTCAATGTTCTTTGTGTTTAATGAAACCATTTCCATGTCATGATGACCTATTGCCTATCCCCTTTGGCGATGACAACTACTGAAATAGGAGTATACTACTTATTTGGTTAAACCACAATCGTTACAGATCCTTAGCATAACTGCGCCAAGCACACATTCTAAGGCTTTCTTGTGTGCATGTAATAGATGGGATACTTATACAAACGAGTGAAGCATTTATGCTGAGGGTCACAAATATCTACCCATCCTACTCAATTGTTGTTCCTGCTTAATCAAAATAAAGCTTGATTATTTTATTTGTTGTCTGATATGGAAAAATTAACTGCCAGTTTTATGGGATTGGCCAATTTCTTAGACTTATTTTTTGGTTTTGCTCTTGCTGTCTTTTTACATGGCTTGTTCACTTCCTGCTTTAAGACGGCTGTATTCACAACAGGTGTGTTTAACATTTCTGCTTCAACATCTGACAGTTGTCGTAGACCAGGACTCAAGGCCTCCTGTTGACCCCTTGCCGTTTGACAAGGAAACATAAAGGATGGATTCTGTTCTGATAAGGTACCCTCACTTGAGGTAGATTGGTCAAGTCCTGCTAGGCAAAGCCCTGAATCGAATTCTGTAAAGGATATAAGATCTCTGTGGTGCTGAAGCTGAGGATAGAGTTGTGGTTCAGGTACAGTATTAGGAACAGGAGCCATAAGCCAGTCTTTTGCTTTTATCACTTCATCATTACCACTTAGAACTATCAGATCTACAACGTACAAGTATAGTTCTTTAGGAATGGAATGGGGGTGGGCTTAAAGCGATACAATTATTGTGAGAAACATTTAAACTATTCTGGCATAAAGAATTAACATAAAAGATAGTGCTAACTACGTATTTTCTATGTTGTAATGGACCGTTGTAATGGATGGTTTCAGTTGAATAACAAATATCGATCTGTATGGGTCTTCTTACTATACATATTAGTAGAAAGAGTTCCATCTTCATGTCATAAGACCAATGTATCTAGAAATTTAAAGCATGCCATTTTCTTCTTTCTCCTGGTTAAAAAATTGGATGTCTTGACCTAGGCTTGACCCAAGCTTCCATCAGCATAATAATATGTGATTGTTTTAGATGGTTGAGGAACTGGCAACAAACAGTGATGAGAAGAATGGAATTTTTGACACATGTGATGCTTGGTACTTTTTTATGAGTGGCAACAGCTACTGCAGAGCAAGTCTATCAATAATCTTGTAAGACAGGAGTTACTAAGATCTTGAAAATACTAACCTTCCACACTGGTCTTCTGAGAAGAACATCCTTCAACATTCTCTTCAATCTCTTCTACAAAAACCCAAAACACAGCATTTTATTTATTAAAATGTCTTGGTTGTCTAAATCTGCTACCAAAGCATTTAAAACTACACTACATTTGATAGGGTAACTTGATTTACATGTCAAGGTAATTTTCATCCAGACTCTCTCAGCTACCCCCTTTCAAGATTGAATTAGAATTTATAAGTGGAACATTTAAAAAAAATACCTTCGACAATGACAGATTCTGTATCAGATACCTCGTTGCTCTCAAATGTTTCAAATCCTTGGGCATTCAACCCATTTGTTGCTTTAGGTCCTAGAAAGCAAACAATAATATAAATCAGCTGTTGCATATTGCAAGTAAAGTGCTCTGAGTAGGCAACAAGTTCAGAAATTTTCAATTCCATTGAGAGATTACATTGTAGGGCAGCTAGGATTATCTTCAATTTACCCAAAGATATGGCGTCATCTGATGTACTTGCATTTGACAAATGGACAACAATTAAGTTAGATTATAAATTAGAAAT